TATATGTATAAAGATGGGGTTTTTAAAAGTCCTTTATGCAAATTTCAGGTAACTATATAATTATCATATGATCTGAATATGTGACAAACTTTGTGCAAGTCTAAAGGGAAAAAGAGGCACATGTGTCTTATGACAGCTTTTTAACTGCAGACTTCTCAGATTGATCAGAAATGAAGTGATTGGTAGAAGCTGATGGTGGGAGCAGAGGAGAAATTTGCTTCAGCAGGAGTCAAGTTCAGCCACACCACCAGTGTCTGTTACTGCAATGTTTCTCCCCAATAAGTTCCATCTCAGATGGATTCTGTTTTATTGAATTGGTCTTAGTGCACTTGAAGGTGAAAAGATGCTATTGGAGATCATTTTATTTTATTGGATTGAATTTTCTTGTTTACTGTTCAAAGATATGTCCATTTAGAAACGTCAGACGCCTGAAAAAGCTAGTCCCAGCCTTTCCATTTTGTATAACTCTGTGGTTCAAAAAAACAAAGAAAACTCAGCTCTAGCAACCAAAATAAAGAATCTCATCTCTTATTATTTGAAATTTAGAGACACTGGACATTTGCGTTTCTTTGGCACAAAGGATATACTTAATGCATACATTGCTGGCATAGAATGAATACAACAGTACTTGCATATTAATTTGGATATGTCTGTCTAGATATCTGTAGACACTGAAGGATCTTGCAATCAAAACCATGCATCACTGGGTATTATAATCACTGGCCCAGGACATAATCACACTGTACTGGTCTGCCCATGAGAGTTTCCTGACTACCACAAACAGGTTGAATTCTATAGAAAATGTTATATCTCTTTGCATCTCCTCTGTCTTTCAAATGTGCCAAGTTGATGCAAAGTTGATGCATGTTGGATTCCCAGAACCAACTTCAGACTATTATCTCCCAGATAGTTTTAAGGATTTATAAGCATGTCTTTCCCTGGTCATGTTTCTTTAAGATTTGGAGAAAGTTTCTGACGTGTAACTTCTGAAGTGTATGCTGCAAGCATGTGGTTGTCATATCTTTGAAACTCTTGGAAGTAGTACTCTCAGCTTTGTTGTTCCCTAGATGTGTGTCAGTCAATGTCTGAAGGAGGTGAGAGAAATTTAGACAGCTTCACTGCTGAAAGTGGGATGTAGAGATCTAAGTGTGGATATAGAACAACTGCCAATAGCTGTGGAGTTTGCTAGAGGAAAAATGCACCAATGATCACACATGCTCCACCTGCAGAATGAAAATCAAAAGTCTGGTAGCAGATTCTGTAAGACTTGAGGATCCCGTGACTCCGTACATAAATTGGGAATGGCAATAATCCATATTTTCTATGTTTTATATTTAGCATCAGGAAAATGCCTCATTCTCCCCAAATATGACTTCTTTCCAAATATGCTGCAATTTATGGACATTTGTAATGTTGGGAGCTTTTGAGTTTCATTTATGTTTGACTTAGCTTCCTTCTTCCATTATTGTTTTCTTTCTTGTTTTGGTACACCTGCTTTTGCTATCAAAATAATCTGAAATTGCTCTCCACTTACTCCTTGTAGAAAAGACTTGATAAATCACGAAGTTTGCAGAGATCCGTGCAATTGCTGATCATACTTCCATACTGGAAGGGGCTGTTATTCCTACATCAGTAAGAGCATGTAGAAATCAGTGGCCTCATCTTTTCTGGCAGGTCTCTTAGTATGATCTGAGGCAGAATGTGTCTCACAGATGGGCTGCCACGGTCCTCCACAGGATGGTCACTTACATTTCTCTTTGTGAATGCCTCTGGAGAATGGTTTTCCTGATGCATTGCCCTAAAGGTTTGACTTGTAGAACAGATAATGTGTCTCCTCACATGGAAGGATGTATATAATCTCCTCACATTAAGAAATAATTTGTTCTTCACCTGGTAGCATATTTATGACACAGTGTCATTGTACATGAAAGATGATGCTTATCATTATGCCAAAGATAAAATAAAAAGTGAAATAATTATCTTTTCAACATCATAGAAATGCTGTAAAGATAAGAGATTATAATGTCTCTTTAAAAAAATACTTTTGCAAGTTAAATGTCAAGTATACTTGAGTCATTATTCTTAGTAAAAGATGATAATACATGCTTTCTCATGTTAATGTAATAATGGAGAGAAATTACACTGATTAGTTTAAAAAGTTGGTAGGAGAACTCAGAACACCAGCTGGCAATTCCAAGGGGTGTTTGCCTGCATGGTTGCATAGCTGTTCTAAAGTAAAATCCAGTACCTGCTCAAGAATTGCTTCCGGGGCCTCCCTGGTGGCCTAGGGGTAAGTTTCAGCTCTATCTCCACTATGGATTCAGTATGATCCCAGACCAGGGAGTTGACCCACATAAAGCCCAGCAGACCTCTCTGTCTTGCCCACTACTCCGCTCAGCAGTGAATTTCAGTAAATCCACCTGTTCTGCTCCCCACTCTGTCTCTGGTGACACACCTCTGGCCTGTATCCCATCCAGTTCTACAAATAAATATATCTTTAAAAATAAATAATGATTGTTTACTCCAACGAGAAAGACAGTGCAGAACTACCTGGTACTTCATAAAGTTTCCTTCCTCAAGGCCATTGTTCCATAAATTGAGATTCTTATAGCTTGTGTAATAAAGAACACTGGTCCTATTTTTATATTCAGAGAGGTGAATGATTAATCACCTCCTGAGCCAAGGTTTCTCTCTTCTTGA